ATTTTGCCTAAACAACAAGGATGTTTAAGTCATTCTGTATTATTTTTGGATATATATACGAGACTCTACTCTTAATTTGAGTATCCCTTTTTCACACACATTCATTCCAAGTAAATTTAAGTAGGAAACATATATGGACCGTGCTAACTCGTTGTCACCACCACTATCATCAGTAACAATAATATTTTAAGTCAATAATTAAACTTGGATCTCAAGATATTACGTCTTGAAAACTGGTCATTCAACTATTGGAATTAACCTTTTAAAGAGTCCTTGTAAGTTATAATGTAAAGTCTTACTAACATGAATACCATATGATTAACAAAGCTATACATAACTTGATGGAAATTAACTAGAAGTTGTATTCTTTAACCTATTTTGCAGTGGTAATTAGCACATATTATTCACATATGGTATATAAAATGACTTCAAAGTAGATAAAAATTCTATATTTTCTTACATCTTAATCAATCATTGGTGCTACCAGTCGTGTTTCATATGTAAGAAACGTTTTGATTAACCTAATGTATAAGTGATTACAAGCATACTGAATATATACTAGATCCACTATTTTAAAGAACATTCGGTCAAGAGGGTTTTCTCTTATGCTATGGAGTCAAGACTCGAGGATTTCTGAAACCAACCCAACTTTAGGAATGGGATCACTACCTTCACTTTTATTCTAAGTTATGCTTGCCAGTGTACATTTAGGGCAAGAGTTTCAAGAAGATCTTTGATTGGAAACTGTTATTTTAGAGGAAATTTTTTGATAAATCGTACCAGAGAATCCAGTTTTTGACAATGTCACACTAAAACACTTCTCTCCAAAAAAAGAATGGTATGAATTTGTATCATGCAGTGTATTTGTATGTGTGTCTCTGTGTATGTGTTGGGGGGGGGGGGGGGGGTGTTAGTCACCGGAATCAGATAATCCATATTAGTACGTATGTTCGTAGTTGCATTATTGCATGGTCATCTGAGCAGGGACGAAACAAATAGATGGTACTGGAGAGATAAGTGGGGGGATGTGACAAAGTCCCCACCATATAAGGTGATTTGCCAACCACTTCATGTTGAATGATTGATTGAAATCCTCTTAGCTGTATCCTATATGGATCTTCTTTTAATTCTTTTGCACTGGTCAAGTACTTGTACCCCTGCAGGGACCAGAAGCTTAACTGCAGGCATTGTCTATCACAATCCACCCACTGTTGGGTCCCCAAAACTTGCCTTTACACATCAAATGTGAGTGTAAAATTTGATAGCAAAGTTTTACAAATTAGTTCTATCGAATAAGATTGATACTTAAACGATCATATATCTTGATCGAGTCATATTGGGTATATAAAACTCAAGTTTTTAATGAATGGATCTCAATTGCAAGTAATTACATATATTTGAAATTTTACAGTGTAGCTATGAGTTTAAAAAATACATGATTAAGATAATTTTTCGTTTGTTTGTGAAATAATTGAGAAGAAGGCTAGGAGACACCCCACATTCAAGAAGCATTGTTCAATGAGTAGAAGGACTTTATGAAATTAGGGTTAGCCAAAAGTGAACCAAAAGGAGCAAAGAAAGTTTGGAATCAATCATTTAACTACATCTTCATCATGTTGTGCCATAATGTTTGCATGGAATTCATAAAAACAATAGGAGAGTATCATGTCCTTTGTACACAACACTGACATTCCTCCCCTCCACCATTCAAGATTTGCGAATCTGAAGTTATTACTCAATGCCTGATGTGTACATATATTTTAAAGGACAATACACCAAATCAACCAATTGTGAGATTTTAAGTTGCAATAAAACCCTATCATCTTTCAACATGACTTATCATTAAATCAAGATGAGTTGAGGTGAGTTGTAATATGGAGCCTAATACGGAACGGGTACTAAGATTTCAATCTCCTTTTTATCACGGAACAAAAAAAGGATGTAAATGTATATGCTACTCCATGAATTTAGGGGAAAGATCAAATATATGTAGAAAAATGGCATACTTAGTTTATAAGACATCAACCATTAGCTAAATTTAAGAGAAATAAGTGATAAAAATTTTTATTTTTATTGTTTTTTGAGTTGCCAATATCTTAAATCAAACACGATGTATTGTTTGAGGAGATGAACACTTAAACCCGCGATGTATTAATTACTCGAGATTCAATTTTTATCAGCCAAATAGATGTGGTTATCTTTAATGCTTCAATAGTCGGTTTGACCTTAGAAGTACATTGGCTTAATAACACTACATTCACATCCATTAAATACTTCAAAAGATTCATAGTGTAAACGATGCACATCTTTCAAAACATTTGCAAAGTACAGTGATAGATTGACATAATTCAAAGCTTCAAACGTGCATCCTTTAATTGATTAAAGCTCAAGACCAAGACCCACTTTAACATTTCCATAGCTCTCTCTCTCTCACTCACACACACACACAGAGTAATCATCAATGGTACAGTCTTTGATTCAGCTTAAAGAATTCTAAAGCTCTTGTTGAGAGATCTCGAATCCTCAAACTCTTTGGAGCGATATGGATTTGCTTAGTTTTAGCTTTCCCAAAAGAAGAGCCCATGCCAACCATGAACCAACCCTCACTCTCATATTATTAATTAAAAATTCCCATTTGTAAAAAATTAATGTTATTTGAATTAAAAATTTAATTTACTGATTTAATGATATGACTTTATTGAAACCATTAAATCAACACTAAATTTCAGTATTTGATGGTTCTATAGTCAATTCAAATATTATAGTAAATTAAATCAAAAAATTATGTCAATAAATTAGGTCTCATTAGTACCGTGCCACACCAATCAGCTGGCCTCTCATAAAAGGGCACACCATGACACCTGGCAATACCCCATTTGAGATGTTCTTGGGTTCCACATATTCTATTGGGGAGAAAAGGGTACTAAGGAATCTAATCCTTTTTTCTTTATTATAGATGGTTGGTTAATTTTTTTTGTTGTCTTTTCCTTTGGACTATTCTCTTGAAGTTGTTTCTTCTACATATACACTCATAGATATAGTAATGATGTTGGGTGATACATCATCATATAACATCTATTATCGAGTTTAGAAAAATAAATAGTACTTAAGCTATACTCTATTATTGGTAAAAATATTTTTTCAACTCGAACTACCATGTATTACTTCAAAGAAAATAGAGTCGTACTATTTTCAGGAATATTTTTTGTTTTTTCAAGAACATTGTAAAACCAACCTAATCAATACAAATCATTTTTACCTCTGGCATGACTAATATAATTAATCTTAGGCTTAAGCAAAGAGTATTTTAGGATACACAAAGCAAAGAAAGAAAGAGATACCATTATTCTAAAGCTTAGATCTTTGTGATTGCAAGTCCCAAGGCCAACTAATAATGGCATAAGAGAAATGGAGAAATGGACAGTCCATCTACAGCATAAGATAGTAAAAAATTATTAATAACTTCACAATTATGCGCACATTGACTAAAATTTTTTTCGGTCTGATCAAATATAAATCATTCACGTCGGACTAAGATATTCATAAGAGATAATTTTTTTCATGATCTAATCCAAAGAGATTGTTAAAATTCAAATTCAGAATATCTAAATTTATAGTTTATCCATATTATCATATGAAGTACCCACTTAGAGTTACAAGATTATATTCTACTTTGGCTTCTTTGTTTATTCATGGATAACCTCTAAGTAATGCTTGAATGCAAGAGGCCATGAGCAACAGTTCAAAAATGTTGGGTCAACTTTGAAAACGTGACTATCAGTGAGGATCCTAACCATTAGATCAGATTACTTTTTCTTGGAGATTTTACACTCATCATAATCAACTGTTGTAATGGAAAGTATCTGCCAGTTTGACTCTTCAAGAATCAAAAAAGTTTTAAAATCTGGAACATTCTTAAAAAATACTATCTAACTTGCCAGCCAGTAAGGCTATGTAATCAAAGTTTCATATATGCTGCCTCCATATCAAGTGGCTAGTGAGTTGCTGAAATACTTAACTAATCTCATTGAATTTACTTTCAATTGAAATGGAGGAAGAGAGGGGAGAGTGAGAATGTGATCAAAGTTTATTTCAGTTCTCAGTTTGCACAGAGAGATAGAGAGAGAGGAGGGGTCTTTCATCTATCCTTCTTTTTTTTTCATTTTTTTGTAAATTACACCGGCGAGAAGAAAAAAGAAAGTGTATTTGTACTACTTGTAACCCAAGTAGACTTACTCGGTGATCATTAAATTGATATTTGATTTAACCCAAGTAAACAATTATTCTCGCAAGTTCAAAAGATATTCATGACATAAAACTCAAAAGAAAAGAGAGAGTAAAAGAAAATTTAACAAATTACATGTTTTAATGCAAAAATATGAAATTAGATTAAGTTAATATAAACCTGCTAATAAATTCTAAAGAAATTTTCCCTTCTTTCTTTACCCCATCTCAACCCTGAGTATCACCATTTGAACTTTATTGTTTCCTTTTAACTCTTATGAGAAAAACTGTGAAAAATAATGTAGCAGAGGGAAAAAAAATGGTATGTGAAACTTATTAAAGTGAGCACAAAAGTAGAGCTCTTGACCAAACAAACCACCTTAATATAAAGATTTTGAGCTCTCCTCCCAAGATGTAATAAAGGACAATGTACTAAACAAAATAAAAATAATATTTAATAAGAGTTGGCAATGTCAGTTGCTGCCTCAATCTTTTATTATTTATGATTAAATTGAGATTAATTTAAGCTACCCAACAAAAGTAAAAGTATGAAACAGTAAATGTATATTTAAGGTATAAATTATTTATATGGTAGAGAAAGCTTGGGTAGGCTTCATAGGCTTCAAACATAAATAAAAACAACCCAATAAACAAACTAATGCATATGTCTGTGTGTATTTGTGTGTGAACACAATTTTATTTCATTTTTACAGTAGCAGTGGCGGTGGTTAATCATCAAGAGCTCTCTTTTTGATGCAGGCGTGGGTATAAATGAAGGAGCTTTGCAATTAAGCCTTCTTTTTCATTCCCTTTCAAAGAAATACCCATTTGCTATTTCTCTCTCTAAAGCCACTAGTTTTCTTTTTTCTCTCTCTAGCTGTTCTTCAAAAGCTTGTATCTTTTACTTCTTGGGTTTTTCCTTGGACCATTAAACAGTGACAGTACATATCCGTTTGGCTGAGCCGAATCACAGAGAGGGTTTGAACTTTGAACAGAGCCATTAGCCACCAAAATTCAAGGAAATTTTTGCCCTCAGTGAAAAAGCTTCAACATGGTGTACAGTACAGACTACAGAGTACTAAAAGTAGTACAGAGTCTGATATGGGTATCTTCCACTTCCCACTTTTAGTTGGGTCTTTCTCTGTTTCAGAGCTGGGGGTTCTGTTACTCTGTCTAGGGTTTTCGCTGCACAGTTTGAATGAACATTAATGATACTGATATCAATGCTTCTGCTTAATTAACTGCTTCTGAATACTTTTTGAGATCTTTATTGAACTGGGCTTGTGTTTTCCTTGTCATTGGGGACTTCTATAGTGTAATTTGGGAGGACTATCACAAATTCAGTGATAGCTTTGGGAATAGTGGTGGTTATACTTGTTTGGCCTTTTGGTACATAATATTGGTGCTTGGTTTTGTTTCAATTCTCTACAATTTGTGTCTTCAGCTGTTAGCTTGACTTCTAAATGGTAGTCCTTGTTTTTGAGTGCATTAGCTCCTGAAATTGGACACCTTTGCAGTTTTTTTCGTTTTCTTTTTCATTTTTGGTGAGTTTCAGATTTTTGGGGGGTTTGGTTGAAACTTGTTTATGCAGTTATTGCTTCAGGATGAGTTAATAGGTTTCTAAGAATTTATTGCACTTTCTCCTTTTGGGTCTTTGATCTTGCTATTGAGGGATTAGGGCTTTTTATGATAGTTAATTCTTTGGTTTCAATATATTGGGTTATTAACTGATTGGTCTGAGACAACTGTGAGTGAGAGATATCTGGTTCTGGCTACTTTTGTTACTGTTGTCAAAGATAATGGATATGGCTGGAAAGGATAATCTTGGAGCAGAAAAAGGGAATGATGATCCTCTAAACTTCCATTCACCTAATATGTCTTCAGACTGGCAATTTATTGGTGCCAATCTTGCAAATTCGTCGATGGGTTCGATTCCCACTGGCAATCCCATGGCAGCTTCTAAAGGAGATTTATTGGAATCTTCTTCTTGTTCCTCTGCTTCCATGGTGGACTCATTTTGCCCTGCCAATTGGGAACAGACCACCCATTCACAAAACCTAGGTTTCTGTGAAATTAATGTTCAACATGGTCCTAGCACTTCAAACATGTTGGGAATTAGAACAAGTGGTCTGGGCCCTATAAGAACTGGTGCTGAGAGAACAGTTGGTATTGGTTGGACTCCTCCAAATGCAATGTTAAAAGGAGGTCTGTTTTTGCCAACTGCTTCTGGGATGCTTCCTCAGAGCTTATCTCAATTCCCAGCAGATTCAGGGTTCATTGAAAGAGCGGCTAGGTTCTCATGTTTCAGTGCTGGGAACTTTGGTGATATGATGAACCCTTTTAGCATTCCGGAATCTATGAGTCCTTATTCTAGGAGTATGGCTTCAATGCAAGGACCACACAGGGTTTTTTCAGGAGAGGGATCTAAAACAGTATCTGGTGAGCAGTATCAGAAAATTGAGATTAACGTGACTGAAAATCCTAAAGATGTTGAGCATGGTGCTATTGAAGGAAGCCCACTTAAGAATGAGAGAAAAACTGAAAGCTCTATGGGGCCTCATGATGAACCAAAACGGTGTAGTGCTGTGTCAGGTAATGAGTCTGATGAAGCGGAATTTAGTGGTGGTGGTCAAGAGGAGCAATCAATGCTTGAAGGTAGAGGTGGGGAACCTTCCACCAAGAGACTTGGGTCAAAGAAAAGGAAAAGAAGTGGTCAGGTGGAATTTTGTTTGCTATTGTTAGGAATTGCTTTGATTCCTCTAATTTTTCCTTGTTGATTATCGTTCTTCTTTTGTGTCAGGATAATGAGATCGATCAAGTCAAGGGAGCCACACAACAGCCATCAGAAATTCCAAAGGATAATGCTAAAATTCAACAGCAAGGAAATCAAAATCTGGTTTCGGCTTCCAATAGGCCCGGTGGAAAACAAGGAAAACAGGGGATTGAAGCTTCAGATTCACCAAAGGATGAATACATACATGTTAGAGCACGAAGGGGCCAGGCAACAAACAGCCACAGTCTTGCAGAAAGAGTAAGGCCTTTTATGGAAGATTTAAGTTGCACCAAAACATCTTATCTTAGCTTTTGGGTTGAAGTTAATTGATTTTACTAATAGGTGAGAAGGGAAAAGATCAGTGAAAGAATGAAGTTTCTTCAGGACCTTGTACCTGGTTGCAGCAAGGTGGGTTTTTTGGAATCAATGAATCATGGAGTGAAATTATCTTAAATTAAGAATAAGAGCGTGCTTGTGGTGCATTTACTGAGAATTGAATAATGTTTGCAGGTCACTGGCAAGGCAGTTATGCTGGATGAGATCATTAACTATGTGCAATCTCTACAACGGCAAGTTGAGGTATGCTAGTGGTAATCTATTTTCTTTTCTATTCTTACTTTCTCCACCCTAGTCATTCTTAATATTTTGTGTGGTTTTGTTTCCCTTTCGTGTCTCTGAGTGATTTAACGTTGTTTACTTTGTGAAACGCTTTGGTTGGGCTACTTTGAACTGCTGCACATTGTATATAAAATCCGCTTCCAATATCTTGCAGCTATGTTTTTCTAAATGTTTATGTTTTTGAGGAGTTGATGATTACTGTGTACTCATCCTCTTTTCCTCAGTTTCTGTCAATGAAGCTTGCAACAGTTCATCCACGGCTGGATTTTAACATTGAAGGGCTCCTCACAAAAGATGTAAGAGAACATGTACAAACATGAACACCACATGTAAATATCCGTTTTGATGCGTGTGTATAATTTTGTCCTTTTTGACCCACCAGTATTGGTTTAACTTCATCACAGGTCCTTCAGTCACGCGCTGGTCCTTCATCACTGGGTTTTCCACCTGATATGACTATGCCTTATAGTTTGTTACATTCATCTCACCCTGGAGTGATCCACACAGTTCTTCCTGGGGTGGGAAACTCTTCAGATGCTCTTCGCAGAACCATTAATTCCCATGTGACAGCCATGAGTGGAGAGTATAAAGAGTCTACTTCTCATGTAAGTTTGCATCAGAACTTTATTTCCTTTAGCCCTTGCTTCTTTGTTTCTAGTCATTGTTAGACTTCACTTTTGCTGTTCCTTGTCTACCGTGGTATGCTGACGCTTGCTTATTTTTCCTCTTTAACTAATTCAGTGGCCTGACAATAGTTAAACCTAGACTTGATGGCCAATAAGTTGGATCATCTGTGTTCACTCTGCATGAATTTGTATCTATCTATGTTGTGGGACTGGGGAGTTTATGGGTCAGGCAAAATATTGTTTTTTTCGTTAAATGACAAATGAACTTTCTAATCAGCCTGCATGAGTCACTTCAATTTGCAGTACGTGATTCATTTTAATGTATCTATCTTTAGGTACCTAATGTGTGGGAGGATGAGCTCCACAATGTTATCCATATGGACTTCAATTCCGGTGCTACCAGTGCTCTGCTCAACGGCCAAGATATAAGAGGTATTGTGAGTTTTCCCACGTGAACTTCTGAAACAGCCAAAGTCTAACCACAGAACTCTTCTGCATTTTCAGTGTCTCTGCCACAAGACCAGATGAAAGCTGAACACTGATAGTTGTGTTAGTTTTTGCTAATGCCAAGTTGCTCCTGTATTGTTGCACCACTGTCTTCGGGGAAACAATTGTCCACTTGTTGTGGCTGCTAGATTGTGCTGTCACCACATTCTTCCTTAAAGTATGTATGCTGTTTGGCACTTAACCAGTTTAGTTTTGAAGCTTGAGGGGTCACTTGTTGCATGGCCAAACCATGAAGGTGTTTCATGTTTATGATTTTGTGGCAGGCTCCTTTTGTATAAAATTATATAATATTCAGCCAGAAATGAGAGGATTTGTGGATTATAGGAGGTAAGCCTCAAAGAAAATGTAAGAGAATCTGAAGTGGAGTGGGATTTGTGAGAAGATAACAGTTGAAACCATGGTGGTGCTCTCCAGTCAAAGGGTGAAGACCCGCAGTTGTATGCATTATGTTGATCAATGAGAATCGAACTTTATTCCTTTTGTTCAGTACATTCTTTGAGTATTAGTTATGGTTTATTTGGTTAGTCGACTATAAAAGCATTCTGGAGAGTCGAAGCTGAAGAAATGTTTGTTCTTTATTATATTCGGGTTGTTGTTAGTTACTAAAATGTTATGTATCATGTATTAATGCACCTCTGTATCAAACATGTTTGACATTTTTCACCAGTGAAAGAGGGGCATATTACACTATATATATTGCATATAATGAATGAAAAGATTTTCTCCTCTAGGACCACTAGAGTCCACCATGGCCAAGTTTTGAACAAGTCATCAGCAGCACAAGTGACATTACAGATCATGGTGAATAGTCTAGTAAACATAAAGTGGTGATTATTATTATTATTATTATTTGCAGCCCTGCTCTTTATAAAAGCCTTGTTGTGGATATGTTGTACATGAATCAGGATCTCTGGTTGGGAAAGTCCAGAGGGTATATGGCAGTTGTACAGATAAGAGAATCAGCAATGAGAGATCAGATAAGGATCTCAATCTTAAAGTTGGTGGGGAATTTGAGTGCTAAAGCTTATTGGCATACTCGAAGCTTCAAAATAATAATTTCATCATTCTATTAAGTGGATCATTTCCTACAGTGAGTAAATTTGAGTCGTAAAAGGAATAATCATTATGCACACACAGAAACGAGCATCATTTGCAAATCTTTCTTTCGATTGATGATAAAGAAAGAGAATTTTTAGTTCAATTCTCTACCTTAATGATAGAAATGACAAAAAAAAAAAAAGGATTGATGAAATCCTATTGAATTTAGACTCTCTTTCATTAATCTTTGTTGGCTATTTATCCAAGCAATTTCAATATGTTTAATGAGATTGAAGGAAAAATGAGATGATAGTTATCCAAGTACAATTGCACCAAAACTAAATAAAGTTCATTTCACCATATTTGATACCCATAACTTGTCACCCCTAAACTCACAATTAGGTTCAAACTCGGTCGCTAATTTTTTTTTTGATCTTATTTACTCCCCTAATAGCGAACGTTAGCAGCAAGGGGGAAGACATTGAAAAAACTAAACTATACTAAAATAAAGAGGTATTCGTTGTTTTTGGCAAAACTTTTCTTTCTTCTCCCCCTAAAATAAATAATAATTAGAAAATACAAGAGTCCAAATATTTTTTAGATTTTTTTTTTCTTTTTAACTAACAGAGAAAGAACTTAATTACACATTTTTAAGACTATTCCTAAAACTGAATTCCAAAGTACTTGCATAAATTACAACTCTTCCCGCCATGTAACCCTTTGACATTATGTCTTGCGCCTCCAACTACTACTGCTCGTTACTCAAACTCTGCTGTGAAACCCAAAACCAAATCCAAGCCAAAAAGCTTCATTGCCTAATAATCAAAACCATACCAAACCCAGAGACGTTCCTATTGAACAACCTTATCAACGCGTACAGTAAACTAAGCAACTTTACCTATGCACGCAATGTGTTCGATCAAATTCGTCAACCAAATCAGTTCTCATGGAACATCATTCTCTCCGCTTACTCCAAATCAGGGCAGCTCTCGAAAATGCACGAACTCTTTAGTCGGATACCAAGACGAGATGGGGTCTCTTGGAATTCTGTTATTTCAGGGTATGTGTCTCACGGGTCATTTTATAAAGCGTTGGAGGCGTATAACTTGATGTTGAAAGATAGGTCTATGAACTTGAATAGAATTACGTTTTCGACAATGCTTATATTGTCTTCAGATCAGGGTTGTATTGAGTTGGGTTCGCAAATTCATGGACAGATAGTGAAATTTGGGTTTGAGTCATATGTTTTTGTGGGTAGTCCTTTGGTGGATATGTACTCGAAAGCAGGTCTAATTTATGAGGCAAAGCGGGTTTTTGAGGGTTTAGCGGAGAGGAATGTGGTCATGTACAATACGATGATTATGGGTCTTTTGCGTTGTGGGATGATAGAGGAATCGGAGGATTTATTTCATTGTATGCCTGATAAGGATTCGATTTCATGGACCACAATGATTACGGGACTTACGCAAAATGGATTGGAGAGAGGTGCAGTGGATTTGTTTCGGAAAATGAGGTCGGAGGACTTGGCTATTGATCAGTTTACTTTCGGAAGCGTCTTGACTGCTTGTGGTGGTCTTGTGGCATTGAGGGAAGGCAAGCAGATTCATGCTTATGTAATTAGGACAGACCATATGGATAATGTTTTTGTTGGTAGTGCCCTCGTTGATCTGTATTCCAAGTGCAGAAGCATTAAGTATGCTGAATCGGTTTTTGAGAGAATGACTCAGAAAAATATTGTATCTTGGACGGCAATGGTGGTGGGCTATGGTCAGAATGGATACAGTGAAGATGCTGTTTGGATCTTTTCCGAAATGCAGAGGAAGGGTATTGACCCAGATGATTTTACACTTGGAAGTGTAATTAGCTCGTGTGCAAATCTGGCAAGCCTTGAGGAGGGTGCACAATTTCATGGTCTTGCATTAGTTTCAGGCTCAATTTCTTTTATCACAGTTTCTAATGCACTTGTAACATTGTATGGTAAATGTGGAAGCATAGAAGAGTCTCATCAATTGTTCAATGAGATGAATATTAGGGATGAAATCTCATGGACTGCATTGGTTTCAGGCTATGCCCAGTTTGGAAAAGCGAAGGAAACAATTGATTTATTTGAGAAAATGTTGGCCAATGGTCTGCAACCCGATGGAGTTACTTTCATCGGTGTTATATCAGCTTGCAGTAGGGCAGGACTAGTAGAGAAAGGGCATAAATATTTTGAATCCATGGTAGAGGAACATGGAATCATGCCACTTCTGGATCACTATACTTGTATGATTGATCTATTCAGTCGAGCTGGGCAGCTTGAGGAAGCAAAAAATTTCATACATAAAATGCCTTACCGTCCTGATGCAATTAGCTGGGCGACATTGCTGAGCTCTTGTAGAAATCACAGTAACATGGAAATTGGGCAATGGGCAGCAGAATCTCTGCTGGAACTGGAGCCCCAAAACCCTGCAAGCTACATCTTGCTCTCAAGCATGTATGCTGCTAAAGGGAAATGGGATAAGGTGGCTCAATTAAGGAGAGGAATGAGAGATAAGGGTGTAAGAAAGGAGCCGGGATATAGCTGGATTAAATTTAAGAATAAAGTTCACATTTTCTCAGCTGATGACATATCAAGTCCGTATTCCGACCAGATATATGCTGAGCTGGAGATATTGAACTTTAAAATGGTAGAGGAAGGATATGTTCCTGACATGAGTTCTGTTCTGCATGACATTGACGAGTCAGAGAAAATAAAGATGCTCAATCACCACAGTGAGAAGCTTGCTATTGCCTTTGGTTTGATTTTTGTTCCTTCTGGTCTGCCCATACGAGTGGTCAAAAACCTTCGAGTATGTGTGGATTGCCACAATGCAACTAAATTCATATCGAAGATTACAGAGAGAGAGATCCTTGTAAGAGATGCTGTCCGGTTCCATTTGTTCAAAGAGGGAACATGTTCATGTGGAGATTTCTGGTGATGAGTACAGTTAGTGCGTGAAGTTTTATAAGAGCACCATGATACTATCAAATGCATCAGGTGAGTGGCTGAAAGCCAGGATAACGTGCATTTGGAAGTAGATCCAAACTCTTACGGTTGAAGAAATTGGTCACAACACTTAAGATTAACACTGTTATTAGGTTGAATCTCAAAACTGTGTTTGATCTCAAGAAAATCTTATAAAACTTATATACAAAAGAGAACCGCCTCTAGACATGTTTTATCTCGCTTTGGTACCGCTTTCTATGCTGGTATACTAACTTGGTTACATCAACCAGAATAAAGAACCCATGGAATAAGAGTAATATTGTTTATGAGAGAGGGATTGAAAGGCTATGTCTGGGCTAGCTTGACTGCCTCCTTACCAAGGCCCGAGCCCTTGGGGGGAGGTGAGCATCAGGTCTGTTCACGGCTTGGATGCCACTGCTTATAACTTTGGATGTCACTCTTTGCAGACCTCCCATCAGTGGGTAGGACCCTTGCTTAATATCTCCTCCTTGCCGCATTCTTCTGGAACAAATGGCTAGACTGATAGCTGCGTTCAGAAAATAATACTTTTGCCTTTCTTCAAGAAAGTAATACAGTTGGTCGAGAAAACTCAGCCCAAAGGTGTTTTATGAAATGAAGGAGCATAAGGACTGGATGGACTGTAGACTGAAGACAGAAAGTGGAGATTGATTGAGGACTGTTTATGGATTGACAAGCTTACAGACTTATTGGACAGATATTTGCTAAACCCAAGAGATATTGAAGATAGAACTATGCGTAGACACTTCTCTGAACTGCCAAGAACCAAACTGATCAGACTTTGGTCGACTCCTGTATGACAAGGTAAACAGTTATAATCCCTTCCAGCTTTGACAAATCAACAGAAGATCTGACATTTTCCATTGCATAGCAGGCAAAATTTTACAGATCAAGGGACAGCATGTGGAGGAGCTGATTGCCTGAATTAGTCTTTTGGCCCTTTCGGGTAGATGGAATTTTAGTTGAAAGAAAACAGAAGATTATGTACATCTGAAGGGTTGCCTTGTTTGTTCTAACAAAAACATGTTGTAAAATTATTCTTATTTCGTCGAATGAAGGTTAAATCAGCAAAATTTACAGTTTTAACCTTTTGGTGCACGTGTCAATTTTAAAATGTTGGATTCTATGTTCCCTCCACAAATTTGTAACTATTCTATATATTCAATAGCTACATCAAAAATAAAGGAAAACCATATATTTTTGACAGTCTGAACTGATACAAGGGACAAATAAATATCCATTTCAACTGGAGAAAAGAATTATACAACAGGTACTCTGGATATGCTGGAGTTACAAGAAATATCCATTTCATATTCTTGTGATGATCTGATGGGCTCCATATTTTGTTGCTGGTTCTGCACAAAAAATGAGAAAAAAATGTAAATTAAAATAAATATTTCACTGGACAGAAGCTGATGACAGGATTAGAGAAATCTACAAGAACAACCTGCAGCCGAGAACAAATCTCAATGACTTCAGCGAGAGGCGCCCAATCTCCAAAATTCCTTTCTATAAACTGGTATGCTATTCCACTCCTCCCTCTGCCAATTATAAAGAGACCACCTTTTGTTTCACCTTCTCCTTTGAAGTTTTGCTCCGCTCCTGTAGCTTTTGCACGTTTGTAATTTGCAATAGCTCGAGGATTGAACAGAAATCCGGATATGAACTTGTCCTTGAGCAGCTTCCCTCCACCCAGAGCTTTGAAAAATTCCATTCCCGCATCATAGATTACAATGCCACCCCAATATCGGGGCCAGAAATCCTTTACCTTGAATCATTAAAGAAAATATCACTCAATTGAAGAGCAAATTGAGGAATGTAGGGCTCAATTGAAGAGAAAATTGAAGAATTTTGGGACAGGGTACCTCTGTGTCAATGTGCTCGTGAAGAACTGTAAATAGTTGAACTCCAAGTGCATCAAATATGGGTTTCTGGGCATAGATTTTGTGGGCTTCGGCTCTGCACATGATGCATCTGTTCTCCGATGTAGGTGCAAAATACACAGGTATTAATACATAGAGTTCACTTCTAGTCATGAAAAAAAACTTGTACTACAACATGGGATGTTACATATATCTTACGAGATACACATTTTCCCCCAAAAACAATTGTTGGGTGAAGTGTTTTTTTTTTTATCATCATGTTCTCTAGCATCGGCTTGTTTTGTGGTTGGATCAACTAGAATGATGAACTTGTTTCATATACTTCTCACTCCTAATTACCAGATACTTCTTATAAAATTTTCCTAATGATGTGCCACTGGTTTTGGCAATGTATTTGCAATGCACCTAATATACTATCCTGAACACATCAATGCACGAGGGCTTCTAGCATTTGCAATTTTTACCATATTCTTACATTACCTATTTTACAAAAGAAGACTTTGTAAATGCAGATGCACTGAAAAAATTACCCAGGGCGGCGTA